AAAAGTGTCCACAGTGCCAGAACCTACAGAACTCCCAACAACTCTTCCTCCGTACGAGCCCACTGAGGATCAGGACGAGACCGAATCACCACCTCCACCTACCACAACTGTATTACCACCACCATCATCTCCACTTACCACAACATTAGGGCCACCACCAACATCAGGACCACCACCAACATCAGGCCCACCACCACCAACATCAGGACCACCACCACCTACCACAACTGTAGCACCTCCACCACCACTTACAACAACGTTAGGGCCACCAACATCAGGGCCACCACCACCAACATCAGGGCCACCACCTCCACCAACAACTTTAAAAGTGTCCACAGTGCCAGAACCTACAGAACTCCCAACAACTCTTCCTCCGTACGAGCCCACTGAGGATCAGGACGAGACTGAATCACCACCTCCACCTACCACAACTGTAGCACCTCCACCATCGCCTCCACTTACCACAACGTTAGGGCCACCACCACCAACATCAGGACCACCACCAACATCAGGGCCACCACCACCAACATCCGGGCCACCACCACCACCTACATCAGGGCCACCACTACCACCTACCACAACTGTAGCACCACCACCTCCACTTACCACAACATCAGGGCCACCACCACCACCAACATCAGGGCCACCACCATCATCAGGGCCACCACCACCACCTACCACAACTGTAGCACCACCACCTCCACTTACCACAACGTTAGGGCCACCACCACCAACATCAGGGCCACCACCACCTACATCAGGGCCACCACTTCCACCACCAACAACTTTAAAAGTGTCCACAGTGCCAGAACCTACAGAACTCCCAACAACTCTTCCTCCGTACGAGCCCACTGAGGATCAGGACGAGACTGAATCACCACCACCACCTACCACAACTGTAGCAACACCTCCACTTACCACAACGTTAGGGCCACCACCACCAACATCAGGGCCACCACCAACATCAGGACCACCACCAACATCAGGACCACCACCAACATCAGGGCCACCACCTCCACCACCAACATCCGGGCCACCACCACCACCTACATCAGGGCCACCACCACCAACATCAGGACCACCTCCTCCACCTACCACAACTGTAGCACCACCACCTCCACTTACCACAACGTTAGGGCCACCACCACCAACATCAGGGCCACCACCAACATCAGGGCCACCACCTCCACCACCAACAACTTTAAAAGTGTCCACAGTGCCAGAACCTACAGAACTCCCAACAACTCTTCCTCCGTACGAGCCCACTGAGGATCAGGACGAGACTGAATCACCACCTCCACCTACCACAACTGTAGCACCTCCACCACCGCCTCCACTTACCACAACGTTAGGGCCACCACCACCAACATCAGGGCCACCACCAACATCAGGACCACCACCTCCACCTACATCAGGGCCACCACCACCACCATCGTCAGGGCCACCACCAACATCAGGGCCACCTCCACCACCACCAACATCAGGGCCACCACCACCTACCACAACTGTAGCATCACCGCCTCCACTTACCACAACGTTAGGGCCACCACCACCAACATCAGGGCCACCACCACCACCACCTACATCAGGGCCACCACCTCCACCACCAACAACTTTAAAAGTGTCCACAGTGCCAGAACCTACAGAACTCCCAACAACTCTTCCTCCGTACGAGCCCACTGAGGATCAGGACGAGACCGAATCACCACCTCCACCTACCACAACTGTATTACCACCACCATCATCTCCACTTACCACAACATTAGGGCCACCACCAACATCAGGACCACCACCAACATCAGGCCCACCACCACCAACATCAGGACCACCACCACCTACCACAACTGTAGCACCTCCACCACCACTTACAACAACGTTAGGGCCACCAACATCAGGGCCACCACCACCAACATCAGGGCCACCACCTCCACCAACAACTTTAAAAGTGTCCACAGTGCCAGAACCTACAGAACTCCCAACAACTCTTCCTCCGTACGAGCCCACTGAGGATCAGGACGAGACTGAATCACCACCTCCACCTACCACAACTGTAGCACCTCCACCATCGCCTCCACTTACCACAACGTTAGGGCCACCACCTCCAACATCAGGGCCACCACCAACATCAGGACCACCACCAACATCAGGGCCACCACCACCAACATCCGGGCCACCACCACCACCTACATCAGGGCCACCACTACCACCTACCACAACTGTAGCACCACCACCTCCACTTACCACAACATCAGGGCCACCACCACCACCAACATCAGGGCCACCACCATCATCAGGGCCACCACCACCACCTACCACAACTGTAGCACCACCACCTCCACTTACCACAACGTTAGGGCCACCACCACCAACATCAGGGCCACCACCACCTACATCAGGGCCACCACTTCCACCACCAACAACTTTAAAAGTGTCCACAGTGCCAGAACCTACAGAACTCCCAACAACTCTTCCTCGGTACGAGCCCAGTGAGGATCAGGACGAGACTGAATCACCACCACCACCTACCACAACTGTAGCAACACCTCCACTTACCACAACGTTAGGGCCACCACCACCAACATCAGGGCCACCACCAACATCAGGACCACCACCAACATCAGGACCACCACCAACATCAGGGCCACCACCTCCACCACCAACATCCGGGCCACCACCACCACCTACATCAGGGCCACCACCACCAACATCAGGACCACCTCCTCCACCTACCACAACTGTAGCACCACCACCTCCACTTACCACAACGTTAGGGCCACCACCACCAACATCAGGGCCACCACCAACATCAGGGCCACCACCTCCACCACCAACAACTTTAAAAGTGTCCAAAGTGCCAGAACCTACAGAACTCCCAACAACTCTTCCTCCGTACGAGCCCACTGAGGATCAGGACGAGACTGAATCACCACCTCCACCTACCACAACTGTAGCACCTCCACCACCACTTACCACAACATCAGGGCCACCACCACCAACATCAGGGCCACCACTACCACCAACATCAGGGCCACCACCTCCACCTACCACAACTGTAGCACCACCACCTCCGCTTACCACAACGTTAGGGCCACCACCTCCATCACCACCAACATCAGGGCCACCTCCACCAACATCAGGGCCACCACCACCAACATCAGGACCACCACCAACATCAGGACCACCATCACCACCAACATCAGGGCCACCACCAACATCAGGACCACCACCACCAACATCAACGCCACCACCTCCACCTACCACAACTGTAGCACCACCACCTCCACTTACCACAACGTTAGGGCCACCACCACCAACATCAGGGCCACCTCCACCACCAACATCAGGGCCACCACCACCAACATCAGGGCCACCACCAACATCAGGGCCACCACCTCCACCACCAACAACTTTCAAAGTGTCCACAGTGCCAGAACCTACAGAACTCCCAACAACTCTTCCTCCGTACGAGCCCACTGAGGATCAGGACGAGACTGAATCACCACCTCCACCTACCACAACTGTAGCACCTCCACCACCGCCTCCACTTACCACAACGTTAGGGCCACCACCACCAACATCAGGACCACCACCACCACCAACATCAAGGCCACCACCACCACCAACATCAGGACCACCTCCACCACCAACATCAGGGCCACCACCACCTACATCAGGGCCACCACTACCACCTACCACAACTGTAGCACCACCACCTCCACTTACCACAACATCAGGGCCACCACCACCACCAACCTCAGGACCACCACCAACATCAGGACCACCACCACCAACATCAGGACCACCACCAACATCAGGGCCACCATCACCAACATCAGGGCCACCACCACCAACATCAGGGCCACCACCAACATCAGGGCCACCACCATCATCAGGGCCACCACCACCACCTACCACAACTGTAGCACCTCCACCACCACTTACCACAACGTTAGGGCCACCACCACCAACATCAGGGCCACCTCCACCACCAACATCAGGGCCACCACCACCAACATCAGGGTCACCACCACCACCAACATCAGGGCCACCACCTCCACCACCAACAACTTTCAAAGTGTCCACAGTGCCAGAACCTACAGAACTCCCAACAACTCTTCCTCCGTACGAGCCCACTGAGGATCAGGACGAGACCGAATCACCACCTCCACCTACCACAACTGTAGCACCTCCACCACCACTTACCACAACGTTAGGGCCACCACCTCCACCACCACCAACATCAGGACCACCACCACCAACATCAGGGCCACCACCACCAACATCAGGACCACCACCAACATCAGGGCCACCACCAACATCAGGACCACCACCAACATCAGGGCCACCACCAACATCAGGACCACCACCAACATCAGGGCCACCACCACCAACATCAGGACCACCACCAACATCAGGGCCACCACCACCAACATCAGGGCCATCACCACCAACATCAGGGCCACCACCACCACCAACATCAGGGCCACCACCAACATCAGGGCCACCACCTCCACCACCAACAACTTTAAAAGTGTCCACAGTGCCAGAACCTACAGAACTCCCAACAACTCTTCCTCCGTACGAGCCCACTGAGGATCAGGACGAGACTGAATCACCACCTCCACCTACCACAACTGTAGCACCTCCACCACCACTTACCACAACATCAGGGCCACCACCACCAACATCAGGGCCACCACCTCCACCTACCACAACTGTAGCACCACCACCTCCGCTTACCACAACGTTAGGGCCACCACCTCCATCACCACCAACATCAGGGCCACCACCACCAACATCAGGACCACCACCAACATCAGGACCACCACCACCAACATCAGGACCACCATCACCACCAACATCAGGGCCACCACCAACATCAGGACCACCAACATCAAGGCCACCACCTCCACCTACCACAACTGTAGCACCACCACCTCCACTTACCACAACGTTAGGGCCACCACCACCAACATCAGGGCCACCTCCACCACCAACATCAGGGCCACCTCCACCACCAACATCAGGGCCACCACCAACATCAGGTCCACCACCTCCACCACCAACAACTTTCAAAGTGTCCACAGTGCCAGAACCTACAGAACTCCCAACAACTCTTCCTCCGTACGAGCCCACTGAGGATCAGGACGAGACCGAATCACCACCTCCACCTACCACAACTGTAGCACCTCCACCACCACTTTCCACAACGTTAGGGCCACTACCAACATCATCAGGGCCACCACCACCACCAACATCAGGGCCACCACCACCAACATCATCAGGGCCACCACCACCACCAACATCAGGGCCACCACCACCACCTACCACAACTGTAGCAACACCTCCACCACCACTTACAACAACGTTAGGGCCACCACCTCCACCACCAACATCCGGGCCACCACCAACATCAGGGCCACCACCTCCACCACCAACAACTTTAAAAGTGTCCACAGTGCCAGAACCTACAGAACTCCCAACAACTCTTCCTCCGTACGAGCCCACTGAGGATCAGGACGAGACCGAATCACCACCTCCACCTACCACAACTGTAGCACCTCCACCACCAATTTCCACAACGTTAGGGCCACCACCACCAACATCAGGACCACCAACATCAGGGCCACCACCACCACCAACCTCAGGACCACCACCACCAACATCAGGACCATCACCAACATCAGGGCCACCACCACCAACATCAGGGCCACCACCACCATCATCAGGGCCACCACCACCACCAACCTCAGGACCACCACCACCAACATCAGGACCACCACCAACATCAGGGCCACCACCACCAACATCAGGGCCACCACCACCAACATCAGGGCCACCACCACCAACATCAGGGCCACCACCACCACCTACCACAACTGTAGCACCTCCACCACCACTTACCACAACGTTAGGGCCACCACCACCAACATCAGGGCCACCACCACCACCAACATCAGGGCCACCACCACCACCAACATCAGGGCCACCACCTCCACCAACAACTTTAAAAGTGTCCACAGTGCCAGAACCTACAGAACTCCCAACAACTCTTCCTCCGTACGAGCCCACTGAGGATCAGGACGAGACCGAATCACCACCTCCACCTACCACAACTGTAGCACCACCACCACCACTTACCACAACGTTAGGGCCACCACCTCCATCACCACCAACATCAGGGCCACCACCACCAACATCAGGACCACCACCAACATCAGGACCACCACCACCAACATCAGGACCACCACCACCAACATCATCAGAGCCACCACCACCATCATCAGAGCCACCACCACCACCTACCACAACTGTAGCACCTCCACCACCACTTACCACAACGTTAGGGCCACCACCACCATCATCAGGACCACCACCAACATCAGGGCCACCACCTCCACCACCAACAACTTTAAAAGTGTCCACAGTGCCAGAACCTACAGAACTCCCAACAACTCTTCCTCCGTACGAGCCCACTGAGGATCAGGACGAGACCGAATCACCACCTCCACCTACCACAACTGTAGCACCTCCACCACCAATTTCCACAACGTTAGGGCCACCACCACCAACATCAGGACCACCACCAACATCAGGACCACCACCACCAACATCAGGACCACCAACATCAGGGCCACCACCATCATCAGGGCCACCACCACCACCTACCACAACTGTAGCACCTCCACCACCACTTTCCACAACGTTAGGGCCACCACCAACATCATCAGGGCCACCACCAACATCAGGACCACCACCACCACCAACATCAGGGCCACCACCACCAACATCAGGGCCACCACCACCTCCACCACCAACGTCAGGGCCACCACCAACATCAGGGCCACCACCACCACCAACATCAGGGCCACCACCACCTACCACAACTGTAGCAACACCTCCACCACCACTTACAACAACGTTAGGGCCACCACCTCCACCACCAACATCCGGGCCACCACCAACATCAGGGCCACCACCTCCACCACCAACAACTTTAAAAGTGTCCACAGTGCCAGAACCTACAGAACTCCCAACAACTCTTCCTCCGTACGAGCCCACTGAGGATCAGGACGAGACCGAATCACCACCTCCACCTACCACAACTGTAGCACCTCCACCACCAATTTCCACAACGTTAGGGCCACCACCACCAACATCAGGGCCACCACCACCAACATCAGGACCACCAACATCAGGGCCACCACTACCACCAACATCAGGACCACCTCCACCACCAACATCAGGGCCACCACCACCTACATCAGGGCCACCACTACCACCTACCACAACTGTAGCACCACCACCTCCACTTACCACAACATCAGGGCCACCACCACCTCCACCACCAACGTCAGGGCCACCACCACCACCAACCTCAGGACCACCACCAACATCAGGGCCACCATCACCAACATCAGGGCCACCACCACCAACATCAGGACCACCACCATCATCAGGGCCACCACCACCAACATCAGGGCCACCTCCACCTACCACAACTGTAGCACCTCCACCACCACTTACCACAACGTTAGGGCCACCACCACCAACATCAGGGCCACCTCCACCACCAACATCAGGGCCACCACCACCAACATCAGGGCCACCACCAACATCATCAGGACCACCACCAACATCAGGACCACCACCAACATCAGGACCACCACCACCAACATCAGGACCACCACCAACATCAGGGCCACCACCACCAACATCAGGGCCACCACCACCACCACCAACATCAGGGCCACCACCTCCACCACCAACAACTTTCAAAGTGTCCACAGTGCCAGAACCTACAGAACTCCCAACAACTCTTCCTCCGTACGAGCCCACTGAGGATCAGGACGAGACTGAATCACCACCTCCACCTACCACAACTGTAGCACCTCCACCACCACTTACCACAACGTTAGGGCCACCACCAACATCATCAGGGCCACCACCAACATCAGGGCCACCACCACCAACATCAGGGCCACCACCTCCACCACCAACAACTTTAAAAGTGTCCACAGTGCCAGAACCTACAGAACTCCCAACAACTCTTCCTCCGTACGAGCCCACTGAGGATCAGGACGAGACCGAATCACCACCTCCACCTACCACAACTGTAGCACCTCCACCACCACTTACCACAACATCAGGGCCACCACCACCACCAACATCAGGGCCACCACCACCAACATCAGGGCCACCACCACCACCATCATCAGGGCCACCTCCACCACCACCAACATCAGGGCCACCACCACCACCTACCACAACTGTAGCACCTCCACCACCACTTACCACAACGTTAGGGCCACCACCAACATCATCAGGGCCACCACCAACATCAGGGCCACCAACATCAGGGCCACCACCAACATCAGGGCCACCACCACCACCTACCACAACTGTAGCACCACCACCACCAACATCAGGACCACCACCACCAACATCAGGACCACCACTAACATCAGGGCCATCACCACCAACATCAGGGCCACCACCAACATCAGGGCCACCACCTCCACCACCAACAACTTTAAAAGTGTCCACAGTGCCAGAACCTACAGAACTCCCAACAACTCTTCCTCCGTACGAGCCCACTGAGGATCAGGACGAGACCGAATCACCACCTCCACCTACCACAACTGTAGCACCACCACCTCCACTTACCACAACGTTAGGGCCACCACCTCCACCACCACCAACATCAGGACCACCACCACCAACATCAGGGCCACCACCACCAACATCAGGACCACCAACATCAGGGCCACCACTACCACCAACATCAGGACCACCACCAACATCAGGGCCACCACCACCAACATCAGGGCCACCACCACCAACATCAGGGCCACCACCAACATCAGAGCCACCACCACCAACATCAGGGCCACCACCACCATCAGAGCCACCACCACCACCTACCACAACTGTAGCACCTCCACCACCACTTACCACAACGTTAGGGCCACCACCACCATCATCAGGGCCACCACCACCAACATCAGGGCCACCACCAACATCAGGGCCACCACCTCCACCACCAACAACTTTAAAAGTGTCCACAGTGCCAGAACCTACAGAACTCCCAACAACTCTTCCTCCGTACGAGCCCACTGAGGATCAGGATGAGACTGAATCACCACCTCCACCTACCACAACTGTAGCACCACCACCTCCACTTACCACAACGTTAGGGCCACCACCACCAACATCAGAGCCACCACCACCACCAACATCAGAGCCACCACCACCACCAACATCAGGGCCACCACCAACATCAGGGCCACCAACATCAGGGCCACCACTACCACCAACATCAGGGCCACCACCAACATCAGGGCCACCAACATCAGGGCCACCACCACCACCAACATCAGGGCCACCACCAACCTCAGGACCACCACCAACATCAGGGCCACCACCACCACCAACATCAGGGCCACCACCATCATCAGGGCCACCACCACCACCTACCACAACTGTAGCACCTCCACCACCACTTACCACAACGTTAGGGCCACCACCACCACCACCATCATCAGAGCCACCACCACCATCATCAGAGCCACCACCACCACCTACCACAACTGTAGCACCTCCACCACCACTTACCACAACGTTAGGGCCACCACCACCATCATCAGGACCACCACCACCACCACCATCATCAGGACCACCACCACCACCACCATCATCAGGGCCACCACCACCACCACCATCATCAGGACCACCACCACCACCACCATCATCAGGACCACCACCACCACCACCATCATCAGGACCACCACCACCACCAACACAGGAACCTACTGAACTCCCCACGAGTTCTCCTCCTCCGTACGAGCCCACTGAGGATCAGGAGGGGACCCCCCCTGGACCGACCGCCGTCTGCCCGTCTGCCTGCCCCCCCCGGCCCGAGTGTCTCAAGCGAGGCGAGCGCCTGGTGGAGGTGGAGGAGGCCCAGCTGGCGAGCTGCTGTGGGAGTTTCTCCTGCCGTGAGTCGTGGAGGCAGAGGACAGTGCCTGATTCTGATGATGATTCTGATGATGATGATTCTGCTGATGATGATTCTGCTGCTGCTGATTCTGCTGCTGATTCTGCTGATGATGATTCTGCTGCTGATGATTCTGCTGATGATGATTCTGCTGATGATGATTATTCTGCTGATTCTGCTGATTCTGCTGATTCTGCTGATTCTGCTGCTGATTCTGCTGCTGATTCTGCTGATTCTGATTCTGCTGCTGATTCTGCTGATTCTGCTGATTCTGCTGCTGCTGATTTTGCTGCTGATTCTGCTGATTCTGCTGCTGATTCTGCTGTTGTTTCTGCTGCTGATTCTGCTGCTGCTTCTGATTCTGCTGATTCTGCTGCTGCTGATTCTGCTGCTGCTGCTGCTTCTGATTCTGCTGATTCTGCTGCTGCTGATTCTGCTGCTGCTGCTGCTTCTGATTCTGCTGATTCTGCTGCTGCTGATTCTGCTGCTGCTGCTGCTGCTGATTCTGCTGCTGCTGATTCTGCTGCTTCGTCTTAGTGGCCGTCTTATTGTTGTTGTTGTTGTTGTTCTGTGTCGTCTAAATTGTCGTCTCACACTGCCTGTGTGAGTGTCTGTCTGTGTGTGTCACTGTGTGTGTGTGTCACTGTGTGTGTCACTGTGTGTGTGTCACTGTGTGTGTGTCACTGTGTGTGTGTCACTGTGTCTGTGTGTGTGTCACTGTGTGTGTGTCACTGTGTGTGTGTCACTGTGTGTGTGTCACTGTGTGTGTCACTGTGTGTGTGTGTCACTGTGTGTGTCACTGTGTGTGTGTCACTGTGTGTGTGTCACTGTGTGTGTGTGTGTGTGTCACTGTGTGTGTGTGTCACTGTGTGTGTGTGTGTGTGTGTGTGTGTGTGTGTGTGTGTGTGTGTGTCACTGTGTGTGTGTCACTGTGTGTGTCACTGTGTGTGTGTGTCACTGTGTGTGTGTGTCACTGTGTGTGTGTGTGTGTCACTGTGTGTGTCACTGTGTGTGTGTCACTGTGTGTGTGTCACTGTGTGTGTCACTGTGTGTGTGTCACTGTGTGTGTGTCACTGTGTGTGTGTCACTGTGTGTGTGTCACTGTGTGTGTCACTGTGTGTGTGTCACTGTGTGTGTGTCACTGTGTCTGTGTGTGTGTCACTGTGTGTGTGTCACTGTGTGTGTGTCACTGTGTGTGTGTCACTGTGTGTGTCACTGTGTGTGTGTGTCACTGTGTGTGTCACTGTGTGTGTGTCACTGTGTGTGTGTCACTGTGTGTGTGTGTGTGTGTCACTGTGTGTGTGTGTCACTGTGTGTGTGTGTGTCACTGTGTGTGTGTGTGTCACTGTGTGTGTGTGTGTGTGTCACTGTGTGTGTGTCACTGTGTGTGTCACTGTGTGTGTGTGTCACTGTGTGTGTGTGTCACTGTGTGTGTGTGTGTGTCACTGTGTGTGTCACTGTGTGTGTGTCACTGTGTGTGTGTCACTGTGTGTGTCACTGTGTGTGTGTCACTGTGTGTGTGTCACTGTGTGTGTGTCACTGTGTGTGTGTCACTGTGTGTGTCACTGTGTGTGTGTCACTGTGTGTGTGTCACTGTGTGTGTGTCACTGTGTGTGTCACTGTGTGTGTGTCACTGTGTGTGTGTCACTGTGTGTGTGTCACTGTGTGTGTGTGTGTCAGAGTTAGAGTTTTGACTTTGACTAGGTTTTGACTTTAACATAGCCATTCCTGTGACCAGTCACAAGCTAATCCCTCAGCTATTTCAATGCTAAATTACTAGTTGCCTCTGTGGATGTGTAGGTTTTGACTTTAACATAGCCATTCCTGTGACCAGTCACAAGCTAATCCCTCAGCTATTTCAATGCTAAATTCTCATGTTTGATTTGTACTAGGTGCCTCTGTGGATGTGTAGGTTTTGACTTTAACATATCCATTCCTGTGACCAGTCACAAGCTAATCCCTTAGCTATTTCAATGCTAAATTACTAGTTGCCTCTGTGGATGTGTAGGCCTTTACTTTAACATAGCCATTCCTGTGACCAGTCACAAGCTAATCCCTTAGCTATTTCAATGCTAAATTCTCCTGTTTGATTTGTACTAGGTGCCTCTGTGAATGTGTAGGTTTTGACTTTAACATAGCCATTTCCGTGACCACTCACAAGCTAATCCCTTAGTTATTTCAATGCTAAATTACTAGTTGCCTCTGTGGATGTGTAGGTTTTGACTTTAACATAGCCATTCCTGTGACCAGTCACAAGCTAATCCCTCAGCTATTTCAATGCTAAATTACTAGTTGCCTCTGTGGATGTGTAGGTTTTGACTTTAACATAGCCATTCCTGTGACCAGTCACAAGCTAATCCCTCAGCTATTTCAATGCTAAATTCTCCTGTTTGATTTGTACTAGGTGCCTCTGTGGATGTGTAGGTTTTGACTTTAACATAGCCATTTCCGTGACCAGTCATAAGCTAATCCCTTAGCTATCTCAATGCTAAATTACAAGTTG